GAGAGAGAGAGAGAGAGAGAGAGAGAGAGAGAGAGAGAGAGAGAGAAGGAGAAGAGGGAGAAGAGAGAGGACAATGTGAGGGAGGGATGCAGTGCGGTCTTCTACGCACGAATGCAAAATCGAAACTTCGATAACGTTTTACCTCTTGCGGTGACTCCACCAATAACCAACGGGCGGCCGTTCGGTGGCGATGGCAACTTCACCGCGTATTTTACGCCGGTTAAGCGCGCTTATTACTTAACAGGCGAAACGCCGCAGCAACGGTCGCGCAAATTATCGGACCGGGCTTTGCGGCTTATTTATAACAGATAATATCGGCGCAGCGGGTGGAGATCGCGCTAGTCTTAGGATTATGAATAACGACGCGCGATCCGACGCGCTCGGTTGTAAATGACTCCGTCAGCGGAGCGACACGTAGAAACCAGGCTAAATATTACGCGGGCGATGCGACATAAAGTTACTAAGACGTAATTATTCACTGCTGAGTCCTTTATAATAATGACAAATGAGTATTCTCTTCGCTTGCGCGCGAGCACAAACTGTTCTCTATTTCGAGGACACACGCTTTCTCTCTCTCTCTCTCTCTCTCTCTCTGTCTCTCTATTTCTCCTGCTCCTCCTCCTCTCTTCCTTCCTCTCCTAAGACGGCAGCCTAGCTCCTGCGCGACGCGTGAGATGCCTAACGATTCTTTAACTTTCCTGTTATCAAACTTTCGTACGCGAGATCATAAGTATCGGGAGGGATTGTCCCGACGTGCTACATCGGACGACTGTCTTCACGGGCCCGACCTCGATTCGTCATGATCCTCCGGGGAGATACAATTCACGTTAAGATGCGCCGAAAGGATGTGATTAGCGCTCGCATACTGTGGCATTCGTTGAAATCTCTCGGGAACGGGTTGCTATTTCGGGTGGTTGTACGTGCTGCATTTCGCGAGCGAATCGAGCTGGATTGTAAGATTGCAATTTGTCGCCCAAATTTTGTTCGGGTAAAATGCCACTCGCAAAATAGAATTACATGTAAATTTGAGTGACTTTTCATTCATGTAGAATGTAATTTTCCGCTCTGAATCGTCGAGTGAATATTTTCATTCAAAATGGGAGTGAATCTCATGTATATCTCTACCGCCACTGGAACAAATTCACTCTGATAGATTGGAACATTCACTCGTGTGGATCGATAAGCCACTCTAAGTTTGAGTTAAATATACTTTCTTCTAACTCAAAGTGGCAGTATTTTTACCACCGTTTCGAGTAGATTTTCACTCGTTTCAAGGGAGATTTCATTCCAATTTAGAGAGTAAATGGAGAGATTTTTTACTTCTCTCGTTTTCTCTCTATGTACTGATTTTTCGTTCTACGTTTCGGATCGTTATAAAGTTTCCTTGTTTCAGAAATTAAACGTTTCGCATTGATTTCCGCCGGGATGGAAGAGCTCATTCGTAAATGTTTAATATCGGGGGAATACGTGGTTGTTCATATCGTCGTTGACGACGAGAGAAATTAATGTCGGCAGACATCTCGCGACTTTATCTTCGGTTAAATTTGCCCGGCACTACTGGGGTTCGTCGTTCCTTTTTTTTTGCGTACAAAGTTTCTATTCGTGCTTTAGCGTGCGCGGCGATACAATCGATTTAAAAGTACGGGCGTATACTTACGTCAGATAACAGCCGTTGGCGATATAACTTAGCATGATTTACGGGCAATACGATCATATTTTTATGGCGCACTGTTCCATTAGCTTCGACGCGTATGATTTATGCAAAGTGTTCTTGGCGCTTCCGCGAGCGGAACAAGACTACTCTTGTGTAGTGTGTCCACTCGCGAAAGTTGACCGCGTATAAATATGCCATCTTTGCAACCGCATGTGTATAAAATCGTGAGACGAATAGCGCGACTCGCCAGCTCGACCGGCAGCTGATGATCTTCCGGGATCTTTTCATCGAGTGATTCTTTTGCCTTTTCATTCTGTCCATAACTTTAGTTGTGCGTCAATAATTGCAACTTGTTATATTTTTAGTAGCAGTCTTTGCTATATTAATAGTAAAATCCCTTTACCAACTTTTACACATCTTACGACGTTTGATTATCGGAAACGACACAATGCAAAGTTATTCTTTGGAAATATTGACGACGTACTCCCTCACGAAACCGTGCTCAATACTCAACGACGGAATTTCCATATATCGCCACCGGTTCTTCCGTTTCCAGGTGTCCTGGGTGCGTAGACGAGGAGAGGAACTTCATTTACTCACCATCGGTGTGGACGCGTACGCGAGCGACTCCAGATTCTCTCTGGCCTTTGAGAAACCTAATAACTGGCGATTGCTTCTGCGCTCCGTCACGGAACGCGACGCCGGCCTTTACGAGTGTCAAGTCAGCGCCCACCCGCCATTAATCAGAACTGTCCATCTAGCGGTGTCAGGTGAGTGAGCGCGTCATTGCGTGTGTGTTCATCTGACCGTTCCCGCTTGGCAACCTCGAAGCAATCAAGAGCCTGCTATTTCCTGCCGCTACTAACGATATGCACTTTGATCTGATGACCGCAGCGCGACCCGTAAATCAACGCGCTTACATAGTAGTACGATATGTCGGAACAATCGCCGGATATCGAATACGTCTGCCGGATGTCCGAATCGACTAAGAAAAGACAGGCTGCCAAGCCGGTGCGATTAGAAATTTGCAAGTACAATTTTCGTCAGTTGAATTTCCGGGATGCAAATATAGACAATACGACCTCGCTTCTGAATTCATTTCGAAATACACGCTTCTTCGCCTTGCACGGGAAAGATACACGAAGAGAGAGAGGGTCTGGGCGCCTTGGTGATTTTTATTGAAGCACAAATCTATTTTACGTTAGCCGAACACTTTGCAAGAGTGAAAGCGCGAAGGGAAGGGAAAGTAGGTGCGCGCTGTACAGTTTAAAGCGCTTCTTGTTCTCTTTGATGTAATCACTGAGGCGCTTGTTACGGAATATATTGCGAAGTTCGTCAAGGTTGGCGTATTAGGCGAGTGGGGCTAATTTTCCCGTAAGCAGACGACGGCAAAAGCCAAGTGCATTATTCTCTTAATCCACTCCTGTAAAGCAGCTCCGTAGAAAGTTGCTCTCCGTAGATACATAATCCATGTGTCCCGTGGCGCGTTTTCGTTGGACCATAAATCACAGAAGCTCACGTCGTTAGGGTCGTCCTCTTCGCGGCATAATGGCGATCTCGATGCTGTAACGATGTCTTCGTGGCGTCCACGTCCCACGCCACTTAATTGGAATCCCGTCTCTTACTCGTATCCTCCTTCTCTCCCTCTTCTCCTTTTTCCATTCCTTCATTCACCACTGCTATTTTCCCGTCTCTTTTTCTACTCTCTCGTTCATTTTTCGTTATCGATAACACGTTCCGAGTCGAAATTTTAATACCACATTAACTTTACAAATTTCATCGAATTTGAGGAATTGACGGAAAATCGAGATATAACGTTATACAGGTTATAATTCTCTCTTGATGCTATAAATGATTATTTAATGCTATTTTCTCTATGTTGAATTATTATTAAAAAATGACTTGTTTTATTAATTATTTAAATTATTTAATATTCGATTACCTCAATATTTTATCTACCATTAATCTTTATTTTTCATTTTAATAAATAATGCTTGGTATCGTAAAATAATATGTATTAGTTGTGTAACTTAATTGAGAACGATAACCAATTAGAAAATAATTTAATGAAGATTAATGGACAAG